AGGGGCGCAGTTCTTGCCGGGTCCGATCTGAGCAGAAGATAGCACAGACACTGTGTTTTGAGTTCGTGGCAAGCTGTTCACCTACATTTCAGGCAGAGCTTCCGTTCTTTAAGAGCATGGGACGTAATCAAACCGCCGCCTGAGTTTTTCTTCTTCCGTCGTCAAGTTGAACGTGTTTTCCATGCGCACAGCGTGGCTGGGCATCACACGCCTCCGTCTGCTTGTCCTGACAGGAGCCCCGCTTTCTATTACTCCCTGGGGACGGCACTCGGCGTCCTGATGACACCGGTCTTCCTGCTGCTGCTGGTGAGGAGGTGCATCCGTAAGGTGGGTGAGCCGGTGGGTGCCGTGACCGCAGCGTGCAGCTGGGGGTCCTTGTGGGCAGGAAGCTTGGTCAGACCGATCCACCCTGATTAGGGTGACGCCTCATTCAAGCTGTATTTCTCCGTTGCACAGACTGGCTTTAAAACGTACCTTTTCTAGAGAGTCCCTGTTAATTTTATTGCCGTCTGTAGGTTTCCGTGGTACGTCTTGCTGATACTTTTCTGGAGACCCTGTCATTCTCTGGGTGACGTGTTCATTCTCAAGGGGATGTGTTTTCCTTGTGAGTGACAGGGACAATTCTGTGCTAAGAGAGAGTCTCTCTGACCTGGCCTCCCTGAGGACTCTCACGTGGCCGAGCCATCCGGGCTGTGAATAGCAGCGCCGCTGCCTCTGCGATTGCTGCGTTGTCATCCGTTCCCCAGAACAGAGCGAGGAGACGCTTATATTAGTTCACGACGATAGTGTTGCCGTCCCTCTGCTGAAAGGGTGCAGCCCAGCATCACCTGGAGATAAATTGTTCCCTGCACAGCGCTGCTCCAGCGACAGTGGACGTGCCGGCCCGGGCGCCCTACCCAAGTGCAGGCTGCGGCTCAGGTCCTGGAGCTGCGAGTCTGCGTCCCGGCAGCTCCCCGGGCGCCAGGGCTGCCGGGCCGGGGCCGCACCTGTAATCAGACCCGAGGGCCGCGTTGACTGCAATGCGTTTGTGTAGAGCAGTGTCTGGTACAGGGGGCTGTGTGCTTACTTCTGCTGTTACGAGAGCGCGTGACCCGAACACTGTGCGTTGTTTTCTCCACACGCAGTGCAGCACCTTTGGGGCTGTGATGGTTGCTTGTTGGTTTGCTTCAGTGTATGTGGTGTGCCAGTGGATGGAGAACCTGCCGTGGCTGTGGGGTGAGCACAGGATGTATGTTGTAGGTAGGTAACGTTTTAAGATCCGTTCTATTATCGGGAAAGCTGCAAAGTGCCACTGGGGCCTTCTCTTGGCAGATGTTCCCGGCATCTAGGTTTCCTTTGGAACTGAGCAGCGCTGTTTAAAATCGTATTTTATTTGTTCCCATAGTTGGTGATTTCAGTTCATTATTCGATCTCATCTTAGACCCTTTCCCATAGGACCTCCTTCTTCGTTGTCTATCCTCATGTTCAAAAGAGCAAAAACGATTTGCCCCTTTTGGCTACAGATGCTCAGACCACATCTAACTTGTGATGAAAAAGTTTCTGTAAAATGTGGCTCTTTCGATCTTTGTCTTGGTGTATTCAGCACGAAAGGTGAGGCGTCCTACATGTACGTGACGAATGAAAACCTGACTTTCCAGAAACGGAGGCATCGGGGAGCCCCCTGTTCTCCTTGTTACCAAAACAACACCCGCCTTTCCTCCTGGTTTAATCGGGAGGTGGTGGGGGATGAGAGAACTGGTTTCCTCCTAACGCCTGACCCCCGATTTCGCACACAAGTTTATCCCCCAAATCAGAAGCAAAACATGTTTTGTTTCATGTTACGATTTTATGTTTTTAGTTCATGGCTCTTATGCTAAAGTGTTTTTTAAAGTAAATCACCCATATGATGGTGTGGTCCCCTAAATACTTCGTTAAGCGCTTCTAGAAACCAAGAGCATTTTCCTCCATAGTCGAGTATCAAGTCTAAAAAGAAATTAAAAATCCCATAAAGCATCTGTCACCCAGGCCACGCTTACCTCCCGACACGGCCTCGGTGGTGGGTTTGCGTAAGCTGCGCTGTAGTCGGGAATCACGCTTTGTACCCATTCTGCCCTGTTCCCATCAAGGGCACACTGACGAGACCACGCTTCGGATTTCTCTGGTTCCCGCTCTGTGGTGTAAGTCAGCTGTGTTCCTCTCTCGCCCGCATGTCCTTTAAACGGGACCTTGGCCTTGGGGCTCGCTCAGATGCAAACGCACACGGCTGGACCCGCCTGAGACGCAGACCCTCTCGCGGTCCCTCGGCGTTGGCTGGGCCCGGGCCTGGTTGCCAGGGCGCAGCTGGTCCCTCCGCTGTAAAGTTCACTTTCTTTCTGTGAGCGGAACGTGAAAACAAAAAGTCGGGTTTGTAGCTGTGACCGGTGTGAGGCTTCCCCCTGACCAAGGCCGCCCGAGGACGGTTGTCCTTCTAGGACTCCGGACTGAAAACTAGACACATGTTACAACAACTGACGACCATTCGCCCTTACTTACACCAAGGATGGTTATTCGCTTACTCGTAACCCGTCAGCCCGTATCACATGAAGGAACAACGAGCCTTAGGTGCCTTTTTCAATTTTACTTCATTGGAAAAAGAAAACAGAAGTGAAGGTTTTTCTGGTATGTTCTTAGCTCTCAGTCCAGGCTATGTCCATTTTTTGGTGTTTTTTTTTTTATTTTTTTTTTTATTTCAGAGAGGGAGGGGGGGGGGGAGAGAGAGAGAGACCCCAATGATGGAGAGAAATCATGGATCGGCTGCCTCCTGCACGCCCCCCACTGGGGATGGAGGCTGCAACTGCCGGCCAGACCTCTGCAGGTTTTTACCATAAATTTTCAAATTCTGAGTGATAACTAGTTACATTCTTCCGCTCTTACAGGCTACGTCTTGACAGTTGGGTCTCTCAGCTTTGCTGCCTGTTACAGACGCGGGCCCCTGGTCAAGGAGAGGAGCCAGCGCCTCCTGGCGTGGACGCTGCGGCTCCTGGCCCTGGCCCTGACCTGCGGCGGCGCCCCCGTGCCTCAGGTCGCGTGGACCACCGTCGGCCTCATGCTGCTGCCCCGGGGTCTGCACTACCCGGCGAGAGCCCTCAGGTATGTGCCGGATGCAGCTTCTTTTTTCCTTGTAATTTGGCACGAGCTCTGGTTCTGTTGATGGTTTGGGGGATATTTGGACATACCGTGTTTGCCTGCATAATGGACCGCATTTCACCTGGAGCGCTCCCTCTGAGGGGAGGGGAGGCAGCGAGCCGGAGGGTGCATCTCGTTGCTGTTCTGAGGCTCAACCCACGCGGGTGATGGCAGCTCCCCGGCTCCCTGACTCGTGACAGAGCGCCCTGGGCTCGGGGCCGCCTAGAGTTTCTACTTCGTTCTGTACTTCCTTCCGTTGGAGCCAAACACGGCTGCGGAGGTATTTGCGGTGCTGATGAGATAAGAGTCAGGGCTCAGAAATGAATCATCGGGGTGGAAGATGCGATGTCATTCAGGGCTTTCTTCTCTCGGGTTCAAGGCGAGGCTTCGGCCTCGTGGAAGCCCAGAGGATGGGGGACCGCAGAGGGGACGCTCTGTGAGGCCACCCGGTCGGCCGCGTTGGGCTGAGCGCCTGCCTGCATGTGGTGCACAGATGAGGGGCTCCTGTCCCTGCACTGTGCTTGCTGGCACCAAGTACGCTGTCACGCACACTGTCACGCACGAGGTGCGAACGTAGGCCTGCCCAGCACCGGGCATCGGGAGCTCAGGGGCACTTCTGGAGGAGTTAGCACTGGGCCAAGTCTTCATGAGTCAGAAGCCAGGTGACTAAGTGTAGGGAGGCTTTCCCACGGAGAGAAAACCCTGATGGGCATCGTCGTGAGGCAGGCGAGTGAGGCAGCATGGACAACGTGTGAGGCGGGCATGGACAGCATGAGCGAGGAGGGCATAGACAGTGTGAGAGGTGGGCATGGACAGGCATGAGAGGCAGGCATGGACAGCGTGAGCGAGGCGGGCATGGACAGGCATGAGGCAGCGTAGGCCATGCAGTGAGTCTAGGCCAGGAGTGGGCAAACTTTTTGACTCGAGGGCCACAATGGGTTCTTAAACTGGACCGGAGGGCCAGAACAAAAGCATGGATGGAGTGTTTGTGTGAACTAATATAAATTCAAAGTAAACATCATTACATAAAAGGATACGGTCTTTTTTATTTTTAGTTTTATTCATTTCAAACGGGCCCTTTCTACAAATCCATCCACACCCAGGTGGCTTATTTTTCTTCAGATTCTTGCTACTCGGTGAGGCTAAACAAGACTAGTTCCCTTTTAGGGAACGCTAAACTTCCAACTGTAGCAGACCTGCTTGTAAATTTCAGTTATTAGGAATGGTGGTTGCAATTGTATAGCCAATCTAAATCAGATATCCACTTATACCTTAAGTGCATGCCATCCCCAAACATCCATCCCCCAAGCATTTGTTAAGAACTCACATTGTTCTTTACTTCTGCCAACAACTGGGGACTCTGTGCAGGATCTAGTCCAGGGGTGGGCAAACTTTTTGACTCGAGGGGCACAATTGGTTCTTAAACTGGACTGGAGGGCAGGAACAAAAGCATGGATGGAGTGTTTGTGTGAACTAATATAAATTCAAAGTAAACATCATTACATAAAAGGGTACGTCTTTTTTTTCAATAGTTTTATTCATTTCAAACGGGCCGGACCCGGCCCGCGGCTAGTCTAGGCTGATCGTGCACAGGGCGGGGCGGAAGCCAGTGCAGCTGAGGGGGTGCTCCCTGGCGGATGCCTAAGGAGCTCTGTACCCAGCGCTCGGGCCTGCGGGCAGTGTGTGGGTGCCAAGCGGGGCCGAGGCCGTGGGGCCGGGAGGATGTGGGAATGGCACCGGGGTTACGCTGCTGCTCACCAGGGCGCAGTGACCTCAGCCCGAGCTGATGCTGCCCGGGGGAGCGCTTTGCCAGGTCTCCTGCTGTTCTAAGAAAGCAAGGAATGAGG